GTTTGTCACCACTGACCTCCAAAAGGACCAGAGCTAGCAGGACCTCACGACGGCGGGGACCGGAGCGCTCTATAGCAGATGAAATGAATGGTGTATACCTCTTCTAATCATCGCAGGAAGAACTTCTTATCGGTGGCCATTCCTGCGAGGGTCTTGAATAATCCCCGAGATAACAATGGTGACAACATTGCCCCACACTCTCAAGAGCAGGACTACGACCAAGTAGGCCTCGTTGAGAGTGACGAGCCAGTATACAAGACCCGTGGTGTTGCGTACTGATGATTTCCCGGAGCCAACTTCTTGTCTGAGGTGACGCGCAGGCACCAGTGGAGAACATCATCCTACAACTACTATAGATATAGAGGATTCAGTACTCCCTGACAATAGGTCGCCCAAGCTTCAATTGCATGAGCACGCCTACCTATTGGTCACGTTATATCATAAGTCTGAGGGCCAGGTGGACAGGAAGGCTGGAAGGTATCAGCAGTAGACCACTACTGATAGAGCACGCCCGTAGTTCTTCACAAGTTGTCAAGCTAGGGCAAAATCTTGTTATGCTTGTTACCAATAGCAAGAAATGAAATCACAAGGTTATGAGAATACTCAGTATCCCCGACAAAGACCTCCCCCATGCCAGGCCTCAACATACAGCGAGCTCCACGGACCTCACCACGTCACGTGACGTAGGGTCACGGTCTTGCGTGAGTCACGAAGTGGCCGCACGACTGTATCACCACATAGGAACTCCAATAGCCTCGTCCGTTAGCCAACGAGACCTCATCGGGTACGTGAGTGCGGTAGCCGGGGTCGGGCTCAGCCTCATAGGCAAACTCGCAACACGTTCAATTGAAACACTACTTATTAATGAGCAATACATGATTGAATCATCACGTCTTCCTGATCTAAGGCTTCGACCGACCTCTTCAGGGCCTTCACCCTCGCGAAGACGGCCCCTCCATCACGCCGGTCAATCTTTCTCCAACGGATACAACCCGCAACACTGAGGATGCACGCAAATACAAAAGCAGCGGAGCGAAGCGATTCACGTTTAGCATTATTAATATTTCAAACTTGCACTCTAGCCTACTGGGGCCAGTAAAAGTATCCCATTGTCCGTGCACTTGGTGGATCAGACTTTCTAAGGCGGTTGCTCTCGGTGACGAATTTTGCAGATCCAGAGCTCAGAAAAAAATCACTCGGACGCGGACTGGTTAAGCACTTCACTAAAGTGCTAAGTTGTCTTATGAAATTCTCGAATCACCCGCGTATGCCATATTAACTATTTTCTCTTCATCGACAGTAACGACCTATACCTCGCCGGCTTGATATACGTTGCCCTTGAGTAATAGTGAAGTGTAGTCCTATTCCTCGTTTTCCCTACTGTCCATCATGAGAAATGCGGGCTCCGACTCTGAGCAGGACCGTCTACTAGAAGAAGCATCAGCTGTTGTTAAGGAGCAGGCATGGCTGATGAAGCAGTAATACCACTCCTTCTCCACATCGCCACCACTACTACTCTCAGGTCGATCGCCAATAACAACATGCGAGAGACGTTGAAGCATGCGTCCAACATGATATGTGAACTAAGGACGGGCACACTGGAGCCTAAGACCTACTACGAGCTCTATATGCAGGTGTCTTATCAGTAGCGACTTAGGGCGCTTTGAACTCCTCTTAGTAGGTTTTTACTGATTTACAATCGTTGGCGTTGTATTTCCAAGAAACTCAGAGGCATGGTATGAAATTGTCCGCTCTCTACGAGTCAGTCCAGCATGCAGGTAAGTTAGCATATCAGGGCTTACCGTATATCTCTACGTATCAGGTAATATCATACCACGATTGTATTTACTGATAACCGTGGGAGCGGGTTTTATACAAAGCAAGGACGCCCCTGCCAAGGAGATACTCACCGATCTCACTGAACTTTGCAAGGTAATGAATTTTCTACGCAATTTCCTATTTTTGTGGTATCAGGGAGTTCAGCATCCCATAAGAGGTTTATTCCTACGATACTATTTATCGCAGTGCTGCAAGGATAAATTACCAGATACTGGCTCAGCGGTATTGTCTTTTTCTCTTCACTGCTACTATACGATTGTTAAGTCTCGGTGTGTCAGTATGAAGGAATCGAAGGAGGCAATGTGTACGACGCTATTGATTTCATACTCAACAACTTCACGGAGGCCAACCAACTGTGGATAAGACTCAATCATCAGGGTACTTCATCAGAGATATGTTTGTACGCTCCATAAAAATGTAGACCAGTGTTAGAAAATATGTTGGCTCTCCTCAGCTCAGTTTAGGAGTTTATATACGAATTAGAGCAGGAGTGTTAGAAAATGACGAAAAATTTTCCCCAAAGTTTCCGTATTGTCCCCGACATATGTGGCTCAGCATGTGGATATTTTCCCACACTGATGCAGGTAGTCTACGAGACCGGGCAAGGCGAGAAAGGGAGCGACACGACCTTCGTGTTCTTGTGGGCAACAACCTCATTAGATTGAGCCAGCTCGATGGCATGGATAAGAATGTAGTACTGCCTTGGGGCTTCGGTCATCATTTCATACATGGAATTTGGAAGTATCAGTGGATCATAGTGACAAATGAATTTATATATAGTTGGCAATGTATTATATATTGTGTTATATTTTATCCCGAGCAGCACTCTTCTTTTTCACCAAGGAGATAGCCAGTATAGGAGTATGGCCGCGAACTCAGCAGCTAATCCGAAATGAGCGGCTAAGCTCAGGTATATGCTGTGAAGCAAATTCACATAGATGGTATATGTATAGACTCGGCTGTTATTAGACTTGGAGTGATATAAAACAGTAGCCATCTGTGTTATACTACTTCTGCCGTTCATATTAATAATATATGGTTAACTTTATGCAGGGGTATCGATGTATATACTGCAATTTAGTGGGGACACGTTTTATTCGAGATCGCCACTTGAGGTCATCATGTGGTGACTAGCTGAGGT